AATAAATAAATAAATAAATAAATAAATAAATAAATAAATAAAAATAAGATTTTTTTAGAAAACATATCCTTTGAGTTAGGCATGGAGATCAGCAGGCAGATAGAGAAAGTTGGGTCTTCAGAAAAACAGTGAGAAAGTCCAGCATGTCACCAGACCTCAGGCAGTTGCATTCCCTGACGCAAAGTTCCAGGGATACAAGTGCACCAGGCCTGTACTGTGCTCTGTTCACTAGATGAAGCCCAGGTGAGGAAGGGCCTCCAATATTTCTCTGCCAACTGGCTTCTTTTTCATGTTAATCTTTTTAAAAATATTTTATTTATTCTTTTTTTTTAATGTGTGCATGTTGCCTGCATGTATGTTAAGTGCACCCGCGTGGTGCAATGCCCATGGAGATCAGAAAAGGACATCAAATTCCCCTGGAACTGGAGTTACAGACAGTGGTTCGCCACCTTGTGGGTTTCTGGGAATCAAACCCAGGACCTCTGCAAGAGCAGCTGGTGCTCTTCGCTGCTCAGTCAGCTCCCCGGCCTCCTCATCATAATTGTGATGTAGCTTACTTTTAGGTCCGTACTCTCCTCCCCACTGAAAACAGGAAGGAGAGGCCAGGTGGAAGAACAGAAGGTGTCTCCTTCAAGCAGAGCGGTGGAACCAAAGGAATCCACAGCCTGAGGCCCACAAAATGTAATTGTGTTACCTCACATGGCAGAACGGAACTTCACAAATGTGCTTGCTTTAAGGATCTCAGAAGGGGAGTTTATCCAGGTGGTTTCAACACAATAATAAGGTCCTTATAAGAAGCAGAAGATAGCAGGCCAGCCTCAGAGAAAAAGGTGAAAAGATGGAGCAGTGTTAGGAAAAGGGTGATCACTGGTTGTAGTGGAAGGGGGCAATGAGGACGAGGATGGTGTGTCTCAAGCAACCTGGTTCCTCCAAGGGGTGGGGCATGCTGCAGAGAATTGACTGCAGAGAGTTAGCCGTGGAGGGAGGGGCTTTTGGTTCCATCTTGGAATAGAAGTGGCAGGGCAGAAAGATGGCCCTGGTGTCTCACCCACGTGGATGCAAGAGGAGGCATTTACTGACCTGGGGCAAGACTGCGGGTGTTCATTTCTTTGTAAGTTTCTCCGCTCCCCCCCCCCCGCCAGAGATATAAACTATGAAAAATTAAGATAAAGATATGCTATATGGTTTATCTGATAGTGCCAGGGGCAAGGGACCCTAGAAAACTTGGGCAACAGATGGAAAGGACTACAGGAGCAGTTAAGGAAAGCTGCAGGTCTTCTGCTGATTCCTCCAGGCCCTCAGTGCAATGAGGACAGATGAGGTGCACATGGATAGGGTCTTGGAGATGTCATCTTTGGTTTTTATTGGGTTTTGTTTTGTTGTTGTTATTTGGTCAACAGGGTCTCCCTAGTCCCAGCCTGAATAGAACTCACTGTGTAAACCAGACTGACTTCGGTCTCAGAGGGAACTGCCTGCCACTGTCTGGGATTAAAGGCCCACACCACCATACCCAGCATGAGATGTCATCTTTGTAAGAAGTGACTACACAGTGACTGGATCATGTCTAAACCACAGCACTGAGGAAGTGAAAGCCAGGCCCTTGAGGAAGCCAGTTTCCCTTCCAGTGGAAATTCTGAAATGATAGTCAATGTATAGGGCACACTAAGCCTCCAAAAGCCACAGACTGTGCAGGAGTCCATCAGGCAGGCATGGTGGCCCTGTCCATATGCACAGCTGCAGACGCTGGGAAGAGATGCCATGACCTTCACCTTCACCGTCCTGATCTGCCTGGGTGAGCTATGGAGAGTTGGGAGAGATGGGAGAGAGCACTGTGGTCTAGGAGGGACCATGACACATAGCCCAAAACATGCCCATCAGAACATCTCGGGGGTGGGTCTGGTGGAGAAAAGAGTCTGCTCATGACTCAGGGGAAAATCCTTCATAGGGAACTCTCTTCCAGGACTGAGTCTGAGACCCAGGACCCCAGTACTGGCAGGTGAGTATGTACCCAACCCTCCCAGGTCACTCCTCCCCAGTGGGGATCAGGGGCCACCCTGGGCATTGAAAATGGAGAACAGCAGGTATGGGCTAGTCTTGGTGTTCCTGGGAGTGTCCTGGGGCTGAGGGCTGGGATCTGATGGGGGAGTATCCTAGGACATAGCTCATTTCCTTGCAGGGAACTTACCCAAGCCCACAATCAGAGTTCATCCAGACTCTGTGGCCTTTAGGGGCATGCAAGTGACCATCTCATGTCTGGGGACTTCAGACACATGGAAATACCTTCTCTATCAAGGGAAAATCTCAGGATTCCACCACAAAATGACCTCAGCAGAGCCTGGGAAGAAAGCTGAGTTCCTCATAGAATCATTGGGAAAACACAATGGAGGGCGATATTACTGTCAATATCAGACCACTGCTGGATGGTCAGAGCTCAGTGACCCCCTGGAGCTAGTGGTGACAGGTGAGGGAACATTCAGGAATTTAGCCCCAAGGCTCTGCCTTTAGGAGAAGGGGTCTGCACTCAGAGATGTCCCTCTCTCATAGCTTTGCCTGACAATGTAGGCAATGTGAGCCCATTTAAAACTCCACCTGGTTCTCTCCTAGGAGTCTATGACAACAAACCCAGCCTGTCAGCCGTGCCCAGCTTTGTGGTAGCCTCGGGAGAGAACATGACCCTTCAGTGCATCTCACAACAGGGATATGACAAGTTCATTCTGACTAAAGATCAGTTCTCCATCTCCCTGGACTCACAGTACATATATTCTACTAGGCAGTTCCAGGCCCTGTTCCCTGTGGGTGCTGTGACACCCAGCCATGCGGGGACATTCAGATGTTATGGCTACTACAAGGAAAACCCGCTGGTGTGGTCTTATCCTAGTGATGCTCTGGAAATAAATGTCTCAGGTGAGTCAGCCCCGATATTGACCCATCATTATTTGAGACCCTATACATTGTGCCTTGACCCCTGTTCCCAGGGAAATCGTAGGCAGGTATGTGGCTGAGGGGATACCTTGGGTTATGACCCAGAGACACAGAGTATGAGAGGCAGTAACACCTGCAGGATATGATGGGAGAAGACATGATTTCTAGGAATCACTTGTGAATCCTCAGCCTGTCTTCCTTCCAGGGCTGCTAAGAAGCCCTCCTTGCTAACCCAGTAGGATCCTGTTCTGGACCCTAAAGAAAACCTGACCCTCCAGTGTTATTCTGACATTGGTTACAGCAGATTCACTCTGTCTGAGGAGAAGGAACTGACCTTCCCCAGAACCCTGGCCAGCAGCGCCAGGTAGGACTCTCTCAGGCTGGCTTCTGGCTTCCCCTTGGACCCCATGTGTAGATCCCATGGGGCTGGTACAGTTGTGTGGTGCACACAGGCTCTCCCACAAGTGGCCTGTACCAATTGATGCTCTGAACATCCTGGTCACAGATTAGGAGAACAGTGGGTCTAGTCAAAACTTAGACTATTCATAGGCCCTGCTGGGAAATCCAGAGATGGTTCAGTTATGAGCTTGGAGATTCAGAGAGGAACAAACCCAGGGACAGGGTAGTGGTTAAAAAAAAAGTCAGATGCATAGAAATCAGAGAGATAGAAAAGAGAGAGGAAGAAAGAAAGGGAGAGAAATCCAAATCCTCAGAGACAGATTATGGTGAGGTCCAAGCTCAGAACATAGTGTGTTAGCCCCTCACCCAACCTTTTTCTCCAAAGACAGTTCCCTGTCTTACCCTTCTTCTCAGTGCAGCTGAGCCCCACAGTGTCCTCAGGAAACAACATGACCATGCTGTGCCAGTCATGGAGCCAGATGGACACTTTCCTTCTGTCCAAGGAGGGAGCAGCCCATGCGCTACATCTAAAACCAATGCTCCATCCATGCTCAGCAGCTCCAGGTAGAATTCTCCATGAGCGCTATGACCTCAGGTCTCAGGGGACCTGCAGGTGCTATGGTTCTGAAGGTTCATCATCCTGCCTGTTGTCACACCCCGGTGCCCCTGATTTCAGCTAAGGGGACTCAGAAAGGTGAAAAGGTCATTCCGATCCTGCACTTAGAAGTGTTGATTAAAATGGGAGTGAGAGACCACAGGGAGGGTCTGTCAGATGGTATTCACCCTTCCTGAAGGTGGAGGCAAACAGACATCCTTCAAGGATTGTTCACTACACACACTTGCTCCTTGGAATCCAGAAAGCTCCAGGTGGGCAGCAGTAGTGTCTTGTGGAGGCCACAGAGAAGATACAGAACAGTGAGCAGAAGCCTCATGCCCTCATTCCCAGGATCCGTGTCAGACCCTCACTCTCAGTGCAGGCAGGCCCCATGGTGTCCCCACAAAGGAAATAACCCTACTGCATTAACACATGTATTTATATTTTCAAAAATTCATCCACAATAATATTGCCCAACTAGTCTCATTTCGGATGTTTATTAACTGCTCTGTGCAGATTTACATCGCGGTACCTTAAAACACACATTCATGGGTGTGTGCAGGTATATGGGTGAGTATTTGTTGGTTTCAGAGCGTGTTTCTATCTGTATGGTGTGTAGTTAATGAGCTGTTTAACAGAAATGAAACAGCCAGAGAACTAGTTAAGGTGGGTACAGGGGAGGCAGCTCCAGACTGTTACAACTTTGTGCTTCTAACATTCACTTCTGGATCCTGGATGCTCAGCTGGAAGTTCAGTAGAGACCCGTCTCAGGGAGATTAGCTTACACACTCTTGTATCCTGACTGGGCAGAGAGTTCAGGAGAGCTTCCTTAGTGGTAAACTGAGAGATGACTTTTCTCACTAATAATGACCTCTTGAGATTCAGAGATACATTTTCCTAAATGGACTGAGACACAAGTTTCAAACTTAAGGAGCACGTGAAGCTGAAGAATCTGTTAAGATCAGAAGAAACCCTGCTAGAGCAGGGCGAAAGTTCATTCCAGATCCTCTTGAAGTTATCTGATGAGACTAATGTAAATTCGCAGGCAATAAACACAGGAAATAAGAACATGGAACTCAGGAAACACTGAGGTCTTTTAAGCACTGCAGACGTTATATTCCTCTTCCATTCTTAGGACCAGCTGAGAGTGGCAGTCTACCACAAAACATTTCCAAACCTGAGACAGGTGACCAAGGGTATCTGTGCGTTGTGGGGCTGGTCACACAGGGTCAAGTCTATCAGGGGAGGCAGGTGTCCCAGGTGAATATTCACTCATTCTGGCAATATTTTGATCTTGTCTGACCCCTGTGACCTCTTTGCCCACAACCACAGCTTCACAGCCCCAGGATCACACAGTGGAGAATCTCATCAGGATGGGCATGGCTGGCTTGGTCCTTGTGATCCTCGGGATTCTCCTGTTTGAGGCACAGCACAGACAGAGAAAGGCCCAAGATAGTGCTGGGAGGTGAACAAGAGAGACAGCTGTGTACCTTTCATGGTGTCAGAGACCGGGAAATCAATCTGAGGAGCTCACGGTTTGGGAAAGAAAACCCAGGGCTTGTGTTGGAAACTTGAAGACAATTTCCAGGGAATGAACATGTTTGGGGTACAGTATCACTGTGATACTGTGTGATGGGATGAGAGCTCTTCCCCGGGAAATAGTTTCTTTTCTCTACTTTTCTGTGGACATTTGCTGACTGTTCTCCACCCCCACATCCCTACCCCTTTCACTTTGTGTCTTCTATTATTTTTAAGAACTATTGGGTCTAAGCTGTGTTCCCCAAATGCATTTAAAACTGAGGAAATTGCTCATTTGAATGGTAAACTAAATTTACAAAGAACCTTTGGGAATAAATTGTACCTACATTGCACAAATCATTGTGTTCACCCCAGTGATTTGGAATGACATCAGTATTTACTATGCCACTTGTACTCTGTGTTGTCTTAGAGAGTTAATGAGGTTGACAACCTGGGACACCTGCCTCCCCTGATAGACTTGACCCTGTGTGACCAGCCCCACAATGCACAGACACCCTTGGTCACCTGTTATCCTACTTGTCTTAGACAAGTTAATGAAGACAAAGATGACAAAGCCAATACTAGGGGTGACAGTCACGATGGTAATAATACAATTAAGAAGGTGTAAGAGGAGAATCAGCAGTTCCTGTCAACCTCATTTCCATGATGACCCACTGTGGCTGGAAGAAAAGTAGACATTAAAGACACTAGTAACCCAGGAGGCGTTCAGGATACAGTCCCAGGCCTGTGATCCTACACAAATGCCATCTGAGACCTGCAAACTCAGGCATTTCCAATTACCTAGCACAAATACCACTTTAGTGCAGCACCTACCTGGGAAAGGATAGGAAATCACTCACTGCCCAAACCAACCAAATGCAAAAGGTGTAGTGTGGCTCTCGGCGATTACCTAGCACAAATACCACTTTAGTGCAGCACCTACCTGGGAAAGGATATGAAATCACTCACTGCCCAAACCAACCAAACGCAAAAGGTGTAGTGTGGCTCTCGGCATGGAGTCACACAAACACCCACAGAGACCCATACTTAAAACTCAAGCACCTAATTCCTGGAGCAAGGACAGAAGCACAAGCAGGACCCAAATTCCTAACCAATATACTGATTGCCCACCAGGAATGTGTTGCTCCCGTTTTGAATCCACATGTGACCTGTCAGCATCAGAGAATACTGATGTGATGCCATCTGTTGATGCCTCCGTCCTAAGCAAGTTCATCACACAGAGCTCACTCCACCAGGAGGTGGCAGTACTTCTTCCTCCTAAACGATGCCTGTGGGGAGAATGGGGGTGACTGAGCTCACAGCACTGAGTGCAGGGCTGGTTGATTCACAGGGAACATCCCACCCCTTACTCTCAGATCACCAAAACCCTCAAGTTCCACGGGGAAATAAGAACTAAGCCATGTGATATAGTTGGGATGACCTGATGTTGACATACATATAGTACAGTGGCTGGGCACTGATGGGCCTGACGTAGTATGGGGCTGTCCTCTTTAAAATGGTTATGATGAAGTAAGGCATGCTGGAGCACACCTGTAATTCTAGCACTTGGAAGGTGCAGGCAAAAGGACCAGGAGTTCAAGATCATCCCTAGCTACATAGCAAGGTCAAGTCGAGTCTGGGCTACATAAGAACCTATCCCGAAAAAATGAATAAATAAATAAAAAGATATGTAAAGTGAAAATAATAAACAGTTTGGGATTCATTGTGCAATTTGGTGTGAGTCCATCCACTGGAGCCTGATCAACCTATCTAGCATCACTCCCTTAAAGAAAATAACTCTCCCTCTCCCAGCAGTGATCAGTTGCCAATAGTTCTTCAGCTAAGGTTGGAAGGAAAATACACACACACACACACACACACACACACACACACACACACACACACAGTGCCATAGTGCCAGGCCCTTCAAGTTGTTGGTCAAGGTTGTTCAAGAGACTTCCCAAATATAAGACTATCGCCACAGACCTTGATTGCATCCCAGAACTTGAAGGGCAGAGCCTATTGATGAAGACAGGACATAGTTCAGACATAGGACTTGGAGCAATCAAACTGGAACTAACTTAGGAACATCCTCCCTGAAAACTAGCTCAAAGGATATTATGCAAGATGCCGAGGGAGAAAACCAATCAATGGTCTAATCCAGTTGTAAAGCCTAATAACCACAGTAATGACTGGCCCAGCACACAATCTCTGCTGGTACAGTAATGGCTCTTTCATCATGGAGGTAATCAACGACTATTTTACTGGACTTAAGGCCCCCTCAGTGGCAAGAAACTCCTGTGATATTGTAAACATAGTCAAATCTAAATGCCTGGAGAAGTCATAGAACAGAGACAAAAATTCATCGGTCACATCCCTAGACAAATGTAATTTCTTTCTTTGTAAATTTTTATTGATTTTTTATGTATTTCATACAGAACTTCTTAATCAATCTTAATTATCTTTATAACTCCTTCTCCACTGGCACCCTCCCACAGCTCCCCCCACTGGAATTCATAATTTCTGTCATCTGTGTTAAGACCTTTCATGTCAAGTTAGTGACAAATGTAATTTCTTACTGAACATTGAATATGGATCCTCATATTCACAGATAAGTGTACCTTTCCCCACTCATCCCCACTCCATGACAGATGGAGTCATTACAGAGTTCCACAACTGGGCACACGGATAATTAGAGTCTGTGAGATGCTCAGCCCTAAGTGACACATCTACAATGGAACCTCTATACCTAAGGCTCAGGGAATGTAGTGGAATAGGGGGGTCTACAACTCACAACTCATCAGCGAAGTTTCCTCACGCAACAGATGATGATCAATGCAAATCCACAACTGGCCATAATGAAGACCATAAGAAGCTGCAGAGTTTGTCCTTGAATAGCACATCCATATCAAACCTCTGCCACCTAAGGTTCAGGGACCATTCGGAAGGAGTTTGGAAAGACTGTAGGAGCCAGGGGTGGGTGGTCACAAGGAAACAATGTTTTCCAGGCAGTTGGGAAGTTGCTCTTATGAACTTACAGCAATGGTGATAGCATGCACATAAACCACGCAAACTCAAACCAGACAAAAACCCAGCCTAGAAGTGGGGAAATGGATATGAATCCCCAACCTTAGCTGAGGAATTCTATTATTTTTAAGGCCTATTGAGTCAAATTTGTGACCCCACATGCTCTTAGGTGTCCTCTATTCCTGATCAACCTGCCTAGTATCTATCATACCCTTAACGAACTCTCTCTCTCTCTCTCTCTCTCTCTCTCTCTCCCTCCCTCCCTCCCTCAACTGCTGATTTTTCCTTACCTAGTGCCAAGCCTTCTGGCCCACCTCCCCCATCCATGCTCAGCTTTTGTATAACTTGGGCTTATGTAGGCATTTTAAATGCTCTCGCAAACACAGTGAAAGTTATGTGCAACTGCTATATTGCATACAGAAAATAAGTACAGAATCCCCAACCTTAGCTGAGGAATTCTATTATTTTTAAGGCCTATTGAGTCCAATTTGTGACCCCACATGCTCTTAGGTGTCCTCTATTCCTGATCAACTTGCCTAGTATCTATCACACCCTTAACGAACTCTCACTCTCTCTCTCTCTCTCTCTCTCTCTCTCTCTCTCTCTCTCCTCTCTCTCCCTCAACTGCTGATTGTTCCTTACCTAGTGCCAAGCCTTCTGGCCCACCTCCCCCATCCATGCTCGGCTTTTGTATAACTTGGGCTTGTGTAGGCATTTTAAATGCTCTCACAAACACAGTGAAAGTTATGTGCAACTCCTATATTGTGTACAGAAAATAAGTATGCAATAAAGTTCCATTATATTCCTTGTATTTATCCACCACCTCTGGTTCTGACACTCTTTCTTCTCCCTTTCCACAGTGACCCCTGAGCCTTGGGGGAAATGGTGTCCCATTTAGGACTGAGCACTTCACAGTTTCTTATTCTCTGCCTGTTGGATAATTGTGCA